CTGACGTCGTAAAGCGACTACATGTACACACCACCACTGGCAGGCCGCAAGGGATGCGACTCGCGCGGTGTCGTTGCGCAGCCACGTCGATGCCATGGCGCTCTTCACTTTCTGGAGTCAACTGGACTGCAGCTCCATTCTGCTGTTCGCGTCTACAATCGCAGTGTTCGTCCTCCCCATCTTCATCATATTTCCACCTGTGCCCGTCGACCGGAGCGACGTGCTGGGTCAGACGCACTCCAAGCTCGGCCGCCCCCTGGCGCGGGAGGACTCTCCTCCAGCGCCCACCAAGGAGCAGCAACTGGCCGAGTCAAGCGGCACTGATGGCACTGCCCCTGTCGAGGAGACGCCGAGCCCAACGGCCGTCTACTACCCCATAGCGGCATGCCGGGGGATCGACGTGTCGCGCGTCAAAGACCGGCCGCGCATGGGTTCCCGCTGCGATGGCATCTACACGTTCGCCCGGCTGACCAGCGCGGCGCACTCTTCAGCCGATCAACAGGAGGCGGCGGCAGACGCGCGACAGGGCCGTCGAGCAAGCGGTGACGGCTACGACGCCGTCGCCGCCGATCAATGGGAGGCGTTGACGCGCAGCGACGCCCCGCCCCTGGCCGGCGTCCAGGTCGATGTGTGGCTCCCCGACGAGGCCAAGTCGAGCAGGCAGCTGGGCCATATCGAAGGCGGCTTCGTCGTCGCGCGCTTCCCGTGGACCGACGACGATGGCGGCTGCGGCGGCGGGTCACTGCTGCGAGTGCGAGGTCTGGCGCGACGACTGGCCGCCAAGCTGAGCCGCGGGCTGCGCGCCGTTCCGGAGAGGGAGATGCTGCTGCCGCTGGAGGTCCCCTCCGAGGCGGAGATCGCATCCAGGGGCTATCGCCGCGCGCGCGTCGCGTTGCGCCAGGGTGATGTATGCTCTGCCCTGAGCATGGAAACGGAGGTGCCGCCCGAGTTGGCGCGCTATCTCGGCATCGAGCATCGGTTGGGGATACTTCGTTTGTGCGACGAGCCAGAGCCAGGGGATGATGGACGAGGCTTGGAAGGCTGAAGCACGCTCATCGACCCGACTTCAAGTACGCGCCGCCGAGCTTCAAGCTTCGCCCGGTGAAATCGCTGGGGGAGAAGCGACGACTGGTCTTGTCTGATCGGTGTTGCGCAGTGGTATTAACAAAATGATCTTCACAACCGGCCGTGCTATATGTACAAAAAGTGCAGAAAAAAAGATCATGCCAAAACGCATCGAGACCGCATAACCATCGCCCGCTCCGTCACATGCCCTTGATACCCAGTCCGAAAACATCATTCAACATGCCCGTTCATGTCCTCGCTTCGTAGTCTCGTACAGCGCCTGCGCGCCATGCAGGCCGACGACCCCAGCCGCTCGTCCGTCCGGCCACCATCTACTTCATGTCCGCCGGCGTCAGGGCCTGGACCATGCTGGTGCCTTCGCTGAAGCGCGTGCGGAAGATGCGGTTGGCGTTCTGGAACATGCCGTCCTTGAGACTGACGACGATGAACTGGGAGCCCTTGAAGCGCGTCTTGATGAGCCGGCCGATGTTTTGCGTGTGCGACAGATCCAGCGCGGCGTCGACCTCGTCCAAGATGTACATGGGCGCGGGCTTGAACTGCAGGAGGGCCATGATGAGCGACAGGGCCACGAGAGATCTGTGTGAGATGCGGTTAGCGGATACTCCTGTTCGGCTGGGAAGGGTGCCCATACCTCTGACCACCACTCAGCTCCGTCAAGCTCTGCTTCCACACCTTGCCCAGGCAGACCTTGACCTCGAGACCATCGCTGATAGTCTTCCCCTCGGGAGGATCGAGCTTGGCGAAGCTGCCGCCGGGCAGGAGCTCCGAGAAGATCTGGCCAAAGTCCCCGTTGACCTTTTCCCAAGTCTCCTGCAGCGCCTTCTTCTTGTAGTCGTCGAGGCTCACAATCGTCTCCTCGATCTTGCGCTTGTCGCGGATGACCGTCTTGATCATGTGCTTGAGCGACACCTCCTTCTTCTCGACGCTATCAATCATGTTCATAACCTTGGGGTTGATCTTCTTCTTCATGCCCTGGAAGCGTTCCGTCAAGTTGCGAAGCGTCGACTTGCACTCGCCAATGTTCTGGCCCTGGAAGTCGTATGGCGTCCCGCTGCGGCCAAACTTGTCCTTCTCGTCCTCGATCCACTCGTGGTCAGCCTCGAGCCGGGAGACGTTCTCCGCCGCGCCCTGCTGCTCCTTGTGGAAGCGCTCGATCTGGTGGCCCAGCTTCTGCATCTCCAGGCCGTCCTCGGCTATCCGAGCGTTCTTGGAGCGAGTCGCCTCCTCCAGCGCGCGAAGCTCGTCGTCGAAGAGGTGGAGCTTTGCCCGCTCGTCATCTAGCTGGGCCTGCACAACATCGTGGGTCTCTGTCAGCTCGGCCTGCTGCTTGGCAAGACCCTCGACGTCCTGCTGCTGAGCCTTGATGCCGAGCTCCACTTCCTGCAGCTGGTCTCGCGCGGCCGAAAGATCGCTGCCCACTTGCTCCAGGTCCAGCTGGGCGTTTTGAAGTTCCTTCTGCAGCGTCTTCACCGCCGCCGAGTTCTTGTCAAGGCCGGCCCTAAGCTTGTCGATTGACTTTTGAAGCTCCACGAGCTTGGCGTCCTTGTTGGTATCGAAGTCCTTCATGTCCTTTTCGATCCGCTTGACGTCCGCGCTTGCCTCGGTCTGGCGCTTCTTGGCTTCAGAGATGCTCTCCTGGAGTTCGCTTATGGTGCTCTTCATGTTCTCCACCTCCTGGATGATAGAGGACGAAGAGTTGCCGCTGATTTGGTCCTCGGCGAGCTTGATCTCGTGGCTTTTCAGGTCGAGATCCTGCTTGATGCGACGTGCCTGGTCCAGCTTGGACTTTTCCTTGGCAATCCTCGTCTGCACTTCCTTGAGCGACTGCTCTGCTTGGCTCAGCTGCCTCGTGATGTTGTTGAGCTTCTGGAGAGTGACGAGCACGCCACTCGAATTCGGTGCGCTACCGCCCGAGAGTGTTCCGGAGGGATCATATGCATCGCCCTCCAAGGTAATGCTCCGCATCCTCACATTCGGGTCGAAGGTAACGCGCTTCGCAGTTTCGGCGTCCGCGCATACCAACGTGTTACCGAAAACATACTCCATGGCGGCCGACACTTCCTCATCGTACCCGACGAGCGACAGGGCAAGATCAACCTTACCTGGGGCTAGGCTCTGCGCTGTGGCGATTGTCTGTGCAGAAGCCTTGAACGCGGCGATCTTGTTGAGTGGGATGATTGTCACTCGCTTTCTCAGCTTTCCTTTCTGGAGCAGCTGCGTGCCGGTGACTTCAGTGTCAACAACGACATTGTACAAGCGTCCTCCGGCGCAAATCTCCAGGGCGGTGCCCGCTTTGGTGTGTTCCTTGTCGAGGGTGAACAGCTGAGCCACCAGTCCCTTGACCTTGGACCGGTCAAAACCGGGGACCGGATCCGCGTAGTTGAAGTCGATGTTGGCGACCTGGCGCTTGAGCTTGTCCGAGTCCTGCCGCAACTCACGGACCGACTGCTGCAGTGCCGATTCTTGCTTGTACATGTCTTCCTCTTGGCCGGGCTCGAACCCCATCTTGCCGAGTTCCTTCTCGAGGCGCTGAGCCTGTGACTTGAGCCCGTCCAGATCCCGCAAGAGGTCGGCATTCTGCGCCCTAGCCTTCTTGGCCCGAGGCTCTTCTTCCTTCAGCCTGCTCTGCAAGTGCGAGATCTTGATCTTGGCCTGCTCCTGTTCGGTTGCAGCTGCTGTCGCGCGATTTCTCGCATCCTGCAGCTGGCCCTGATATCCGTTCTCCTGGCCGTCCTTTGATGCGACACCGGTTTGCAGCGTTTGAAGTAACTCCTCCTTGGACTCAACATCCTTGGTTTGCTTTGCGAGGTCGTCCTTTGCCGCATCGTAGGCCGCCTTGGCGTTGTTGAAAGATGTCGTCTTGTCTTCGAGTGCTGTCTCGAGCTCGGCGACATTCTTCTCTACGGCAGACCGTTTCTCGCTCTCCTCGGCCAAGCTCGTGTTCTTGAGATCCATGACTGTGGCGAGTCGCACCAGCTCGTTGGCATGCTTCTTGACCGTTTCCTCCAGCGCTTGAGCTTTGCCGCCCTTCTTCAGCTCCTTGTCGCGCTGAGACCGGACCTTCTTGACATCTTCCTCGAGATGCGCGATCTCGCCCTTCATTCGCGACGCAGAATCTTCCAAGCTCTTGTGGCGCTGCTTCTTGCCCTCAAGATCGGCAGCAGATTGCTTCAGCTTCTCTTGGCACTTGATGTAGTCGTAGGCAACGACAAGCCTTGTGAGTCGTTCGAGGTCGTTTTGTGTTTGCTGGAAATCGAGGAATGCGCGCTTCTCTGTGCGCAGCTTCTCCAGCTTCGGCTCAATCTCGTCCTTGAGCAACTCCCGCAACTCCTGCAGCTTAAGCTCCTTCTTGGCCATCGTCTTGAGTGCCTTGTCTCTCCTGTCTTCGAACATTCTTGTGCCCGCCGCCTCTTCAATCATAGCTAGGATTTCCACTGCCTTCATGTTGAGGACTTTGGTGATTCGGCCCTGCATAATGAGGAAGTTTGGGTTGTTGATGTTGAGCTGGACAGACTGGAAGAGATTCTGCACAGTCTGCTGCTGTGCTCGGTGGCCGTTGATGAGATACTTGGACGTGCCGCCCAGGACGATTTGGCGTGTAACGCTAATGGTCGCATATTCCTCGAAACCGATCGGCGACTTCTTCGTATCCCGGTTGTCGAACACAATGGTTACGCTGGCTTTTGTGACGCCAGCCTGCCCGCGCTTGTAGATGAGGTCCTACACCCGTTAGCTCCCACGTGCAGAGGATTGCGCGGGTTCATGTCGCACCTGTAGGTTTTGCGCTCGAACCGTGGACATGTTGGTGATGCCCAGGACGAAACATATTGAGTCCAGAATGTTGGATTTGCCACTGCCGTTGAGGCCGGTAATGGAGTTGAAGCTCTCGTCCCTAGAGTGTGTCAGTTTGGGCGCTGTGTCGGAGGCCACCCCCCAAAACCGCTGAGACCCCTCACCATCCTGAGATGACAGTCCGCACGGCATACGACTTGAAGCCCTGTGCCGGCCGTCAGTGACGCACAAGTCATACAGGCGCTAGGGGACACGCACGTCGATAATCACTTCAATCACCCTCATGATGGCGCCGGTCGCTGCGTTGGCGGTTTGCGACTTGCTGGCAGAGACTGTCGGGCTGCGATGCGATGTCTGTTGCCCGCCCACTTGGAGACGCGCGACGCCAAAGTAAACAAGTCGTGTTTAGTTTCTGATAAGGGACCTTATCATCACGTGCGCGCCGTTTCATCCGCTCTCATTTAGCCTTACATCACCCAGTCACGTGAGCGGCATGGACGCGACATTGCAAGGGCGAGCTGTGCCAGCCGGCTGCCGACGCTAGCCCGATTCGGGCTCAATCAAAACAAGACGTCGTGGAATGAGCGACTGGCTGCGCCGACGTTTGAAGCTCTCCACTGTCCATCAACAACGCCCCTCGCCTGCGCACAGGCACCCATTTCAACGTGGAGCCTACAAGACTCTCGACACTCGCGCACATCGAGCCCGGCAGTTGCCCGTATGATATCCTCGAGTTGACCGACATCGCCTCCGTGGTTTGCGAGACTCCAGCTGCGGGGTCTCTGACCAGTGACTTGCGCGACTATGGCCGCCATGAGAGGACCGCGACTGCAGGTCGGCTCCTCGGCCTGGGTCGCTGAGGAGAGATCCTCTGCTCTCATGATCACTCATACTGAGGTGGAGGAGTTCTCATTCTCGGTACAGAACGAGCTCGACTGGCTCAACGAGCACATGGCTGGCATCTTCAACGAAAATGAAACGTACTTCGCGCCCCCTTCGCGTGCTTTGATCGCATAGCTGACTGAATGCGTGGCAGCAATCTTGCGGAAACCTTCAAGACGCCTGGGAAGCTGCGCGGCAAGACGCCACGAACGGCTCGCAAGAACCCGATGGAAACACGCGTGGTAAGTTGTCGGGGTTCTGATGCGTGCCTGGACAGTAACTGACCAGCTATCTCCAGCCTCTATCCGACGTATTCGCGCCGACTCCAAATATTCCCCTCAAGGCTGCGCCTCAACCCGACCGCAACCAGTCACCACAAGCTCATGCTCAAGGAGCTCGATCCTCACCCAGCCCGGTGAAGCAGGCTTCTGCCCGTATACCCGTTTTCTCACCCAAGCAACCCGCAACCCAAGACTCTGGATATTTTGGCAGCCAGGACGTTGGGGCTGTCAACATACACTTGGACTCGGAGCTTGGAGACACCGAGGATACTTTTAACGCTGCTGAGTGGCACACGACGACAACCGTGCCCGTCAGGCGCGAAAGCTCCACGCGACAGGTCACCATTGATTCGCCAGAAAAGACCTTTCAGACCGCCCGGGAGGAACAGACAACTCGCGTTCTCAGCGACGCGACCGCAAAGATTGCCACGCCCCGTGTGGATTTCGTGACAGCGCAGCTCGCCGAGGACGAGGAGATGGACGTGGTGTCGACTAAAACCCCTGCTACCATGCAACACACTGCCAGCGCGCGCCAACAGCGGCCTGCCGATGCCGATGCCGACCCGCAGTCAGATGATGCCCGGTCACCGTCAGACGGATCAAGCCCAGTGAGGCCCGTGGTCCGGAAGAGTAGCTTGAACTTCGCGTCTCTGCCCGCCAGAGAACCGCTCACGGCGGGCAAGAGTATCGGGGGCCGCGTGTCTAGGACGAGCCACTTGGATCACATCCGAACAAGCTACTACAACCGGCCGACCGGCGGAAAGAGTCTTGGCAACCTCGCCAAACTTGATCATGACGATGATGAGCATCAAGACCAGATGGATGTTGATGAGGATATCCCGGCTCGCAGCATGAACGACCAAACCAACATCGCCGCAAGTCATACCATGACTTACACACAACGACTGCAAGACCAGATTAACCGACTGGGCAAATCGCAATCCGGCGGCGGCGCCCAATCGAAACAACTACCTACTGCCCAGCCTATGCAACCTCAGAAACCAACTACCGCACTCCAATCTCCATCTCCTGCTCGCAAGACGCCGGTTCAGACGACACCTGGGGCGTTCCCCGTAGATGACGATGAAGACGACGACGATTGGATCGAGCCCCCGGCAACAGCCACCCAAACCACAGACCTGAGGCCGGCTCTGCCAAAGAGCCACTCAGCGGATGTGATGGAAGATATTCAGGGCAAGGAAACTATCAGTCAGCCCGACTTCCGTGCTCGAACTGGACATCATGGAGCCCATGGGCACGGAAAGTCAGCATCCGTATCGACCGTCCCGATTATGCACTCGGCTTCAGACCCAGATCTGCAGGCACTTAAGAAGACTGTCTCGGTTTCGAACCCCACATTGATGAGTGTTGCTGAGGCCAGAAAAGCCGATACACCCTCCAAGTCCCCGTCCCGATCAATGCGAGAGAGCCCTCTGAAACAGGTCAAGAACAAGCTCTCTTCAATATTGAAGAGCTCAAGGGGTTTGCTGGCAAGCAGCGCTGCAATTAGTGCCGAAGGGAAGTCTTTGATGTCTCCTTCCACAACGAGACTGGGGTTGCATCCTACAATGTCGTCCGAATCTGTGGTCTCCAAACAAAAGGCGGATCCCCAGAGCCGCCAGCAGCCGGATGCAAGCCCCACGAAGCCAATTGCCCGGCGTACCAGGGCATCCACCGAACGAGAGAAGGAGCAGAAACGCCGAGAGAAAGACGCCAAACGAGTCGAGGAGCAAAATGACAAGCTTGAGAAGGCGCGTGAGAAGGAGAGGGAGAAGGCATACATCTTCAGCAAGGAACAAGAAAAGCTTGCAGCCATGGAGAAGCAGATCGCCCTGAAGAAACAAGAGGAGAAGGTTCTGCCGAAGACCACCCCAAAGGCCACGAGAACCAGCCCCAGGAGGGCGCCTCCGGCCGAGGAACAGGAACCAAAGACATCTGACAGAGACGTCGAGATGGAGGACGCCCCATCTGCCGCTCCTGCGCCCGCCGCTTCACAGTCTGTTGGATCGAACCAGGCAACTCGAACCAAGGAGATGAAGCGACCCATGAAGCCAACCAAGGAATCACAAGCCAAGACCAGGCAGGCGCCGACTGTTATCAGGGTGAACACTGGCTCTCAGCACTCCCAGTACCACCCCTCGAGCAGGTTGTCGACTACATCACACGATACTGCGGGTGGCTCCAACTCGCAGTCTCAGAGCCAGCTCGGGAGCAGAACCAGCAAGGCTTCGCTACACGCAAAGCCCTCTTCTCAGAGCCTCCGGGGTACTGCGTCGGTGAGCCGCCCCAAGGCCCTAGACCTCGCAGCCAAAAAGAAGGAGCAGGACGAGCGTGAGGCGCAGCGCCGACGCGACGCGAAGGCAGAAATGGAGCGGAAACGCGCAGCTGCACAAGAGGAGCAGCGCAAGCAGGAGGAAGCGCGACGCCAGGAGGCTGAGCGGCAGAGGCGCCAAGAGCGTGAGCTTGCCGCGTCTCAGAATGATGGCAAGACTCCTGCTCAACGGAAAGCAGCCATCGAGAAGGCGAAGCAGACGCGAGCGCCGCCTCCCGCGGTGCGCTCTCAGCTCAGTGGGCAGGCCGATGCGGCGACGGGCTACGAGAAGAGGATCTCGACTGCTCCTGGCACAAGAAGCGACGCGCAACGACCGCAGTCACGGATGACGGGTAATCTGCAACGATCTCAAGACGAATCCAGCAGACCTGTCAACGCGGTCCTGACGAACGCGGGCAAATCCGCCGTCAAGCGCACGCTGGGCGCCCAGGAGAAGACTGATGTAAAGCGACGCCGGACTAGCGAGGCATTTGACGATGAGGCCGACAAGGATAAGTCGCGGAATATCAAGGGCCCCCCCGTGCGGCCGTCGGCAGGCTTTAAGAAAGTGAGTGGCCGTCAACTGATCACTTCGACTGCTTCATCTGTGCTAACCTCATGGTAGGACCTGCCAACAAAGTCCATGTATGGATATACGGCTGCACCGCCGAGTGCGACCCGCGACCTGTTCAAGGCCACGGTCACGGCGCAGCACAACAGTCACGCCAAGGCGGCTCACCCTCTGGACATGGCCCAAATATCCAAAGGGGCAATCCCTTTCGCGCCGAACCCCAACCCTGCTGGCGGCTCCTACAAGACACCCGCACGCCCCGCGGCGCCTCAAGGAGCCAAGTCTTCTGCCAAGCCAGCGCGGTCGTCGCCCCGGTTCCAGAATGGCGAATCCATCGAGCTTCCTGAAATCCAGACCGACGACGAGGATGAGGATGAAGACGAGTCGAACGGCATGGTGGCGGCATGGGCTGACTCTCCCGATCTGCGACGGGCGCTCATGCACCAGGAGACACTGGACCCGTCTAACATCTTCGGCCCCCCCGCGCCGCTGAACATGGAAGAGGTCTTCAACAAGAGCAAGGACAGGTGGCACAAGTTCCGCGCACGAACATCTAGTGCAAACTGGAGCGGCGCGGATCGCTTGACCGAGGATGACATCCGGAAGGATCTTGCCGCGCGCGACAAGCTGCGACGCGAAGGCGGTTGGTCTTACGACATGAGCAAGGGTTTGCTGTGAGGTATTGGGCACCGGCAAAGTGGCGCACCAGGTGTATTTTTTTTTCCAATGGATGGGTTGGGAGAGGGTCGTTTAGTCTTTGATTTCAGGGCATGGCATGTGTATTATTGCGCATAGGGCGGTTTTGGGAAATCGTCATCGGCGTTGGCTCGCGAACCGTACATTTTCGCACATGCAGGCTTCAATACGAACAGACTGGCCAGCCGGCCGGCGTGCTTGGGTTTTGATTGAATGGACGCTCGTCTTCTGTCGAGGAAACGTGGTGCATCGAGAGTTACAACATTACGTCGGAGTTGTTCGATACCGCGTATGAAAAGGGGACTATACTCAACTGCAGTGCTTCGACATGAGGTGCTCAAGTCCCGACTCTATTCCCGGCTCTGCGAGTAGGTACTTCCTCAAACGGAACAGACTCTCAACACAGGCAGATCTCCGTCTCCACGTGGTTCGAGAACCAGGCCTCCTTTTCGACGTAGAACCACCCCAGCCGACTGAACCGGGCGCCATCCTCGCTCTTCTCCAGCAGCAGCCCTTTGTTCTGGACGAGGGGCAGGCAGTATACGACGCCGACCTTTTCTCTCTCCTCACGCACGTCGAAGAGGCCAATTCCCACGACGTGGCCCCACGGATCATCGCCATCCAGTCGGGTAGTCTCTCCGGCTCCGAATAGCAGCAGCCCTTCTACGTGCAGTCGCTGCAGCGGGTGGCGCCGCCTCGGGTACGTCTGGGTGATATAGTCGATTACACGCGGGGCGTCATCCCTGGGGAGGGACACCCGCACCGCGGCCAGATGGCCGATGAGGAGAAGCTCTAGAGCTGGGACGCGCAGCTTGTCCGGCCCGCACCGCTCGTCGTCCTCCTCGCGCGTCCACCACGCCGGGTTCGCACGCACAGGCCGCACCCTCGCATAAGACGGGTCCCTGAACCGCGCAATGTTGGGCGGCGTGTTACTCTCCTGCGAGACGGGGCCCTCGACGGCGGCCCAGGACCACGACGGGGCGCGCACGATGGGGCCTTTGGTCGCAGGGCCGGTGAGCCGCGTGGGCTTCGGCCGCGTGGTCAGGATCTTTCCGTTCGTAGACACCTCGTGGTGGTAGCACGGCTTCCAGAGCAGGCCACGCAGCATGTCGCACTCCCATATGCCGGCCAGGTATCGCGAGTCGAGGCCCCGCGCGGCCTGCTGGGCGATGGCGGCGATGGCGGCGAAGATGTCGTGCGGGTTGGACAGGTGGCACGCCGTGTAGCCGTATATGAAGTTGTACCACTTGCGCAGGGTGACTTCGCGCGCGTCCTGCAACTCAGCGGGCTGCGCGGGCGGGAGTGACGAGGGCTGTTGCTGCTGCTGCTCAAAGGCGAACCGCGGCGCGGGGTTCTCCTTGATGAGCCCGTTCTCGTAGACGCGCTCGGTCTCGCATTCGAAGATGAGCTGCTCGGTCCCAAACATGATGGCACGGCGGCAGCATGTCCTCTCCTGGCAGCACCACGCCCGTGTCACGACGGGGCCGAGGTCAGTCGAGCGAGGCAGACTGACCATCACGAAGCCGCCGTCAGAGCCCGTGTCAGAGGGTGGTCCTCCGACAGGCAGTCGGCATGGCGGTAGAGATCTCTCTACTGAGGAGTCGACAAAGTTGTCAACATAGCCGTTCCTTGCGTCTGCGGAGCGCCCGGCGACGACGGTCAGTGCAGCGTTGCCGTATACTTGCGCCATGCTCTTGGACTCTTTGGTCCAGTCCGCTTCATCTCCTTGTATGATGCACAGCGCGTCGATCCATATATATCGTATACCCAGCGCCCGCGCCAGAGATATCGTGTCACGGTGCGCCTGCGCGAGATCCGACTCCGTGATGCCTTGCATCATGGACGCATACGTCTTGGGAGTGAGGGTCAGGATGTCGTCGGCCGTCACACCCCAGCAGTAGGACAAGGCAATGTATGGCTCGCGGATGCCCTGCGTCGGGACGAGGCGCAGTGCTGATGGGCCGTCTGGGCTGCCGACATCGATGACTCGCGTGGGCATCGCGGCAGTGTCATTGGCGGCCTTGCATTTGGGGTGGTTCTTGCGACAGGCGTACAGCCATCCCTGGATGAGGCGGGTACGCAACTCCGGATCCCAGACGGCGGTGCTGCGCCGTCCCAGAAGCCGGTACGTGGACTGCTGTCCAGGCAGTCTTTGAAAATTACCTGCTCATCAGCCTTTCACGAGCTCTTGATCACGGAGATGGAGCTGATAGCGGGCGCGGCATCACGTCTTTCAAGGGAAGCTAAACGTACTCGTAGGCCTCGAGCCTCGCCGACACGCTGTCGGCGGGATTGGAATCCTCCTCCTGCTCGCCTCCCACGACCTGCGTTGGCTTCCCACAGCAGATCTGGATAAACGCCCCGTGCCTGCCACGGGTGTGAAAGTGACCGCCCATGAGCCACATTTTGGGGGTCCATCTCTGGCCCTCGTCCCAAGCGGACTCTCCTCGGAGGAGCTTCTCTATTCGATCCTTGTTGGCAGTCCTGAGAATTGAGACCCAGCACAAGGAACAAAATGGGCATCCGGCGTCAGCTTTGGATTTCAGCGTGGCGAGGTCGGGGTGGAAGAAGATGGGGCGGTCAAAGAACTCGTCCAGAGTCAGACCCGCACAGCGTTCGCAGAACCCCATGTTGCGCGACTATGGCTCAGATGGATTGACCTGGTGGAAAGGTTGTGTCTGCAGAAGTATGTTCGTCTCGAAGAATATTGCGAAAGTAACCGTTTGCACACAACGCATTGTGTCTGCTCCCAACTTCTCAGAGGGTCCTGAGAAGCATCTCGAGAGTCGAGACATGGATCCATGGGCCAAGCTGAAGGATTGCCAGGCAATATGCAGTTAGGGTGCGGGGTATTATTGCAATAAGCACGAAAATTGCGAGATACCCCTGGCAGAGCAATTGCTTTGACAAAGACGCCAGATGATATGGCTCAATTTATTCACCAAGTTGAATTACTGATTCGAATGCCCGCCAGCGCTTGTATTGTAAGAGGTGCGGAAGGGAGTCAGGGAATGCACTCGGCTCAACGTCCTCTCTCTCGGCGACTATTTCTGTGTTGTCACAGACATGCGCTGCTAGGAAAGTTGGCGACTTCGCCGGGCGCGAAATCGGGGAGTGAGTCGTCCCTCATTTTCACCAAGCCTTGGGCAACGAGCCGTGCGTGTTGCACGTTGGAGTGGTTGCCGAGCCGCGCGGAGTCGCAGACAGTGTCGCGGCGACTCGAGGCAAAGGTACGTACCGCGGGCCTATCCAGGGTCGCGCATGGCCTTTCCTGATTCGCACTAGCGGCAGACCCGTGGACGGACAAGGCAGGGAGGGGCGACCTCTGCAGACTCCAAAAAAAGTTCTCGGAGCGCAGTTCCTGCCAGTTCCTGCATTCTTTGGTGCAAGCAACTCCGACCTCCCCAGCTCTCCTTTATCACCGTGTTTTCTTGCACGCCTTTTCACATCCTTATCGTCAACGGTTCATTTCGGTGCGCTCCTCTGTACTGTACTCGATCGTCACAGTCGATTGCAAAATCCGCCATGTTCAGACACGGCCTCCGCCGGTGCGCCGGCCTGGCAAGCGCCGCGTCCATGTCGGTGCTCCCGCGCAGCCGCGCCCTCGTGCCCGTCGCGCGACAGGGCGTCGCATCGCTGGGCCGCTCCAACACGCCGCTGAGGAGCGTTGCGCAGATTGCGCGCATGTACAGCAGCGAGGCGGCGGTCGCAGAGACCCAGGCTGTCGACGGCGACGCCGCTGCCGTCGCCGGTGCCCCTAAAGATGCGACTCAGTTCTCCGACCTCAGGCAGCTCGGCGTCCACGACAACTTGCTGAGGGCCATCGTCGACGATATGGGATACGAAGACATGACGCCTGTGCAGGCAAAGACCATCAACCCCGCCCTCAAGGGCACCGACATGTACGAATTCCCCCAACTGTCCACTTGCCTTCCTCTGCTAACCACCGCTGCAGTGTAGCTCAGGCCAAGACCGGTACCGGCAAGACGCTTGCCTTCCTCCTGCCGATGCTCCAGCGCATGATTGAAGAAGATCCGTCGCTGGCCTCGAGACGAGCAATGCGCGCCGCCCGCTCCAACGACATTCGAGGCATCGTTCTGTCGCCGACTCGCGAACTCGCCGAACAAATCGCCACTGAAGCCAAGCGCCTCGTGCGACACACCGGACTTGTCGTTCAGTCTGCCGTCGGAGGAACCCACAAGGGTTCCATGCTCCGCCAGACGCAGCGCCAGGGCTGCCACCTCATGGTTGCCACCCCTGGTCGCCTCAACGATCTGCTGCAGGACCCGGCCAGCGGCATTGAGGCCCCGAACCTGGCTGCTCTCGTGCTCGACGAGGCCGACCGTATGCTGGACGTCGGCTTCGAGAAGGAGCTGGGAGAGATCACGCGTTGCCTCCCGAACAAGGATGAAAAGGTTCGCCAAACCATGCTGGTCTCCGCTACCATTCCCGACGATGTCATCCGCCTGGCACGCTCCATGGTCCGACCGCAAGACTTCGAATTCGTGCAGACCATTGCCGAAAACGAGTCTCTTACCCACGACCGAGTGCCGCAGCACATCGTGCCCGTTTCCTCGTGGAGCAACGTCTTCCCCAGCCTGTTCGAGCTCATCGACCGCGAATCCGCCAAGACCCGAGAGGATCGAAGCCTGAAGCCTTTCAAGGCCATTGTCTACTTCAACACCACCGCGCTCGTTGAGCTCGGCAGCGAGCTCGGCTTCCAGCGGAGGCGCAACAACCTGATGCGGATCCCGACCTTCTCGATCCAGTCTCAGCTCTCCCAGAACCAAAGAACCAAGGCTGCGGACATGTTCCGCAACGCGCGATCCGCCGTCCTCTTCTCCTCCGATGTTACCGCTCGCGGCATGGACTTCCCCGATGTCACCCACGTTATTCAGGTCGACACGCCACGTGACCGTGAGTCGTACATTCACCGACTCGGCCGCACCGGCAGACAGAACAAGGAGGGCGAGGGCTGGCTCCTGATGCCGCCGATGTCGCTGAGCAGTGCGCGAAAGCTCCTACGAGGACTTCCGCTGCAGCAGAACAAGTCTCTCGAGAGCGCAGAGGTCGACATCGAATCCGGAGAGCTTCCCAAGTTTCACCAGGAGGCGCTGGATCTCTCACAGTCCATTCACAAGAGGATCCTGGGATCCGCCTACACGTCCATCTTTGGCGGCCAAGTCAGCCACAGAGAGGACCTCGTTGATGACTTGAATCTCTGGGCCACTCAGGGCTGGGGCTGGGCTGAGCCGCCGCCAGTCTCCTCGTCCTGGGCACGCAACCAGGGCCTTCTCCGGTCCAACCTGAATATCCAGGACCGAGGTCGACGTGACGACCGCGACGACGACGACCGGGGCGACCGCCGCGGCTCGAGGCGCTCCGGGTCGCGCTTCTCGGACGACAGGAAATCGTCTGATCCGTTCGCCGAGATGGGACGCCGCGCAAAGCGCGACAGCCCTGGCTCGGGCCGTGGCTTCGGCCGCCCCAAGTGGTAAAGCCTTGCGCTTCGCACGAGAGGACGGCGCCTCTGCATTCTTCCGGATGACGTTGATGAAAGCAAGTTCTTGTTGAGACGACTGCTGTTCTTGTATCATGTACCAGGGCGATCTTATGAACTGTGGAAAGCGTGTAAAATACCAAACATCAAAACAAGGGTCTGGATTTTGTGTACAATAGAAAAGGGGGGGCACTCAGGGACAGGCAGGCATCACATCAGAGGCGTTTTGGAACCAACTCTCCCAGACAACGGATTTGTATAAGTATAGTAGTATATCTGACACAAGAGGTAATATTCTCATCCTGATCATTGAGACCCATTTATCCGCGCAAACTGCGGCAGCTGTGCCGCGTGCGTTGTATCCCAAAACGCCACGCATTGTCATGCTTCCCCATTGCCATCCTCCTCTCTCGCGACAAGATGTCGCCATTGTCAAGGGCCACTGCGTCACACCCCGTTACCGCTGCCCCATGAGCATGTTGGCATCCCACAGCAGCACCCTCTCGTCCCAGCCTACTGACGCGACCCATCCGCCGACGCCAAACAGACACCAGTCCACGCCCGTCACGAACTCGGTGTGGCGGTTCATGATGCCCATCTGGTGGCCGGCCCTCGTGCCCGCGGCGCCGGGAATGGCACTGGCGGGGCCCTGCGGAGGCTGCTGGCGCTGCTGCTGCGCGGCGGCGGCCGACGCGCCGCCGTCGTTCCACAGCCGCACCGTCATGTCGTAGCTGGCGCTGATGAGGACGTCGCTCGCGTGCGGGCTCCAGGCGAGGCGGCGGACGGCATACTCGTGGCCCTGCATGATGGCGAGGGGCCCCGCGGCGGGGCTGCGGATGTCGAAGGTGCGGATGATGCGGTCGACGCCGCCGGTGGCGACGACAGTCGAGTTGTACTTGTTCCAGTCGTGGGTGAGGACCTCGGCGGGGGGGCTGGCGGCGGGGCCGGGGAGGCCGACGCCGGGCTGGGGGCCGGAGCCGGCGGCGTGGACGGGTATCGTGGAGACGAGGTGGTACTTTGCCGACGAGGGGGTGCGCAGGTCGAAGATGCGGAGGTGCGAGTCGGAGGAGACGGCGGAGATGAGGGCCGGGTTGGAGGGGCAGAAGGAGGCGCTGTAGGTGCAGTTGCCGATGGGCAGGGTGCGGAGGGACTGCGTCCTGGTCGGGGACCACTGCGCGATAGAGTCAGTCAATTCATTGCCAACGGCAGGGAGAGCCTTTGCGCTTCTCTAGTAGCAAGAGAAGCATTCACAGTCAAGACGGTGGGGGGAGGCTCACAATCTTGACGGTGCCGTCCCAGGAGCTCGAGAGGAACGAGTCCTTGGTGATGGGGCTCCAGCACACGGAAAAGGTCTCGCGCTTGTGCTCGTGGAAGTTCATGACGGGGAAGTCGTTGACGCCGAGGTCGAAGAGCTTGAGGGAGCCGTCGCCACACGCGACGATGAGCTGGTTCTCGTTGATCTCGGACCAGGCAAGGTCGTAGAGGGCGTCGTTTGTGTCGAAGCTGTGGGAGGCGCGCGCGCGCGCATCGTGTCAGCCCCTCTCTTCGACCCTTGATCTTCATTGATTCATGAATTCATTCATGCCTAGAGTGGTGGTGGTGCTTCCTCTCTCTCTCTTTCTCTCTGTCATTGTCTCTCTCTCACACACACAAACACTCACGTCTTCTCAACCTGGACGCCCTGCGCCGTCAGCCCCAGCGCAAAGACGCGGCCATTGCCGACGATGCCAAAGTTGGCCGACGTGGCGACGGCGATGCGCGAGTCGTAGTAGGGCGAGTACTTGACCGCGTAGGGGTTGTAGCCCTGCGTGCGGAACTCGAGCATGGCGGCCATGATGACGGGCGGCGGTGCGGCTACGGCTGCGGCGGCCGCGACGGGGCGGGATGGCAGAGGGGAGCCGGCGTGGCTTGCTTGCGCTACTGGGCGTTGTCGCGTCGTCTGCACATGAACTGATCCTGTCGTCGGGTTTTGTTGAGGGACGGACGCGGCGGTACTAATCAGCTCACCATTGCGGGTGAGGAGCTCGCAAAGACGTTGTTGCTGTTGAGCGCGAAACGGTTGGTGATGGAGGAGCTCCAGCCCATTCCTCCTCTCCCAGCTGGTATAGTTGACATGTGCCTCGGTAATGGCGCCTCTCGTCAGTGGCTGCTCGCCCGCTGTGGAGCGCTGGCCGAGGGGGTGTCGGCGCGCTTGGCCCGGCCGCTGTAGCAATGGATTGGATGGACCCTCGAACCCTGGGCTGGGACGTGGGCAGATCTCGGGGAATATCGCGGGGGCATGCGACTACCGGGGCTATTAACCAGCCGACTTGGGCCACGTGACTTCGCGTCCAGGTGGCGCCGCGCCCTTTCGTCCAAGGAATCACGCTTGGCTTATTTGCCGTTGCTGCTGATATCTGTCAGGCCCTGGCGGCCGTTCTTCTTCTTTTCTTTCGACAAAATACTGACTGACGGAGCTGGTGTAATTTCCGTCACAAGCTATCGTGGGGCGCGCACCGTCCGAGTATCACAAGCGAGGGCCGCTCATCACCGTCCGCTTACACGGTCCGCCCAACGACATGAAGTCGTTCCTCACCAAGCCGAAGCGTAAACTCAGTCCCGCGCCCGAGCCATGCCCCGGAGACGCAGACGAGCCGACAGAAGTCAAGCTCGCACTGCTATCTTCCTTGCACCCCGCCGTGGACCAAGAGACGCTCCTTGACATCCTGCTCGCCCACGACGGGTCCGTCTCGCAAGCGTCGACCGCGCTGCAGCACCAAGAGCACGCACGCCCCGGCAGCAAGAAGAGCGGCGTCATCGGCTACCAGCAGTCTCTCAAGCAGTACGCGCTGCCGCCGCCGCCCTCGGGCGACGCCACCTCGCCGACGAAGAAGAAGCTCAAGTCGAAGCGGGGCAGCACCCTGCACCTGTACGACCCGGCCGACGTGGCCGAGCACACCCCCTGCACCATTATCCACAACTTCCTGCCCCCGGAGGACGCGAATGACTTGCTGCGCGAACTCCTCGACGAGGCCGAGTCGTTTGAGAAGATTACCTTTAAGCTCTTTGACAATGTCGTGTCGAGTCCGCATACGTCCGGGTTCTTCGTCGAGAGCTACGAGGCGATGCAGCAGCAAAAGGCAGATTACTACTACAACGGTGCCAAGCTCACCGTGAGTAAATTGTACCTGATGATCTCCAATGGAGAGTGAATGAATGAGCAGTGTCGCTGACGAACCGCGCAGGACGTTCGGCGCATCACGCCCCAACTCGCCAAGGTCAAGCCCGTAGTACAGGAGGCCGTCAACAGGGAGGTCCAGCAGCGCATCAAGACGCGGTACCCCGGCGGCAAGAAGCTCAAGTACCAGTCGCCGCACGCGTGGGTCCCCAACTCGGCATTCGTAAACTGCTACAAGGGCGCGCAGGAGAGCGTCGGCTGGCACAGCGACCAGCTCACGTATCTCGGCCCGCGCGCCGTCATCGGGTCGGTCTCGCTCGGCGTCGCCCGCGAGTTTCGCGTCCGCAGGGTCCTCCCCAAGGACAAGGACAAGGACAGGGACAAGGACGGCGGCGGCAGCGGCAGCAGCGTCAAGGCGGCCGAGGACGACCCGGACGCCGAGGGCCAGATCTCGATCCACCTGCCGCACAACTCGCTGCTCGTCATGCACGCCGAGATGCAGGAGGAGTGGAAGCACTGCATCGCCCCCGCGCCGTCCATCGACCCGCACCCCGTAGCGGGCGTGCGGCGCATCAACATCACGTACCGCGACTACCGGCAGCGGTTCCACCCGCGCCACACGCCGCGCTGCCGCTGCGGGATCCCGTGCGTGCTGCGCGTGGTGCAGCGCAAGAGGGAGAACTACGGCCGGTATTTCTGGATGTGCCACGCGAGCAACGTGCCGGGCAAGGAGGGGTGCTCGTTCTTTCAGTGGGCCGAGTTTGACGATGACGGGAATCCGATATTCGATGGCAATGCAGGCCCCAAGCAGCCGCCGTGACCCGAGGATGAATATATGTGCGGGCGCCGCAACACGTATACACGCGAAGCGTCGTGAAGTTGATATACAAAGTATCTGAATGCATCTCGTCTGTCCATATGGTTTCCATCCCATTTTCGATGTCGTCTTATAAAGTGTGCTGTGCCTTTTTGGTGGGTCGCGCCCAAACACCCATCCGAAGTCGCTGCTTACCCTCCCACGAATAGCTTCACCTCACCCTTTTTTTTTTCAACACCTCGCAAGCTGCATTCCCAATTCTCAGCCAGCGAAACACCGCATTTATAGCCTGTCGGTACTTGCTGGCAGCATTTTTCACCGCTGGCGCGCCCAGCTGCTGCAGCAACCGCCCACCGCCACGACTCACCACCATCACTACACCACCGCAATGTCGGAGCAGCTCACCTTCCCCGCCTCCTCGGCCGCGGCCCTCGAGCCGCATCTGCCTCCGCCCCGGTCATCATCATCATCATCGTCGGCGACCACAGACACGCGCCCGAGCGCGACGGCGTCACCCCACCACGGCAGCGAGGCCCAACGCCCCTTCGTGACGCTCACGTTCGCCACGTCGCTCGACTCGACGCTCGCCCTCGCGCCGGGGGTGCGCACGCGCCTCTCGGGCGCCGAGTCCAAGGCCATGACGCACTACCTGCGGTCGCGGCACGACGCCATCCTCGTGGGCGTGTCGACGGTGCTCGCCGACGACCCGGGGCTCAACTGCCGCATCGCCGTCGCCGGCGCGGAGACGGAGACTCAGGCTGAGAGGTTGAGGCTGCAGCCGCGGCCCATCGTCGTGGACCCGCGCCTCCGATGGACGCCGCGCCGCGCCGACAAGGTCCTCGAGCTGGCCCGCGCTGGGGCCGGGCTCGCGCCGTATGTCCTCACTGCCGTGGCCGAGGCTGACGTGCCGCCCGAGAGCGCCGCGCTGCTGCGCGAGCATGGCGGCAAGTACATCCACATCGAATCGTCTACCATTACTAGCTCTACTGCTGCCGCCGGAGAAGGAACCCACGACGGTGAGGAGACGCCGGACACGAGGCCGCGCTTCCGCTGGGAGGACATCTTCGCGGCGCTGGCAGCCGAGGGCCTCACGAGCGTCATGGTCGAGGGCGGCGGCCAGGTCATCAACGCGCTGCTCCACCCGTCGTGCCAGGGGCTCGTGGACTCGGTCATCGTGACCATTGCGCCGACGTGGCTCGGCCAGGGCGGCGTCGTGGTCTCGCCGGAGCGGGTCACGGATGCGCAGAGCGGGGAGCCAGTCGCGGCGGCCAGGCTGTCCGGCGTCTCGTGGCTGCCGCTCGGGGAGGACGTGGTCTTGTGCGGCAAGCTGCACCCGTAGGCCGGGCCGGGGCAGCACCGGCCGGCCGGCCGATCGGGCGTCCGCCGTTGGTGAGCATTGAAGACGGACTTTCCAACACGGGACATGGCCGTCGCATCGACGCAGACATACACACACACACACACACATATTTAGCTTGGTGGTGGCAACCAAGGGTCCTCTCTCCGCCGCCATGCCTCCCTCTCCCTATCAACACCAAGGCATCCATCCCAACCAACATCGCAGGCCATGGCATCGTCCAAAAGTACCCCAGAACGCCACGACACCCTCTTCCTCGCCCATCCATGCCCTCCCAGCACGCATCCGTACATTCCGCACCCCCCTACCCACCGACCATCCTCTCCCTCATCCCGAGCCGTCCCGGTGCCCCCTCCGTCGTCGGTGACGGCCCTCCCTCGGCGCCCGCCGTCGCCCGCGGGCCCCCCGGCCAGACCACGGTGAGCAGCGGCGCCGAAGTGCGGCGGGCGCTTAGCATGCCCGAATGGGAGGCACGGGATCCACAGATAGCCTCCATCCACTATATTCGTCAGCTGGTCCTAAAACGTGGGTGCTAAGCGACGCGCCGCCGTGGTGGTCCGATCCGGTGGACCTTGCCCTCCTCCGCCGAGCATCTGCCGGGGCGCTTGACGGGCCGGATTCTGCACCCGAAGCCTTCTAGAAGCCGCAAACGGGCAGGTGTGGAGGGGCAGTTGTGACAGTTTGGAGGCCGGACAGGCCACCTGGGCGCCGTGCACCTGCCCACAGCGCGCCATGCGGGCAGGGCTCGCGGGGCTTTTCAGCGCTGACAACCCTGGGGCCTCAGCGCTCAGCCCCTCCAGTGACGGATCATGCCCCGCCATAAGCCGCTGAGGGCGGGACAACCTAGGAGCTAAGGGACCGCCGAGCTCCAGCTCAACGTCACATCATCCATCCACCGTCCATGCTGTGATTTTTTCTCCTAACCCTTCCACTCCCTCTCCCTGTCTGTCTCACGATACCCTCATCCCCTCGTTTTCTTTTTCTAGCGTACGGTCGACCGGCGACAGTGAATCACAGCTAGGCGGGCAGCCGTAGCAGCGATAGTCGCAGAACCCTCCCCCCAAGCCGCCCTTGGGCCCATCGCAACCCCGCGTCCAAGCAACCTGAGCTCGAGAAGCACGATGGCGCCCAACCACGAATCCGGTGCTGGCGCTGCTGGCCTCCCGCGCATCACCATCCTCGGCTCCCTCAACATGGACCTCGTCTCCTACGTGCCGCACCACCCCCTCCCCGGCGAGACCCTCACGTCGAGCGGCTTCAACACCTCCCCCGGCGGCAAGGGCGCCAACCAGGCCGTCGCCTGCGGCAAGCTCTCGCGCACCTCGTCCCTCGCCGACCCGTCCGCCGTCGTCGCCATGCTCGGCGCCGTCGGCTCCGACGCCTACGGGCCCGTCCTCACCTCGAGCCTCGCCTCGTACGGCGTCGACGTCGCGGGTGTCCGCGCCCCGCCCGGCGCCAAGACGGGCATCGCCATCATCGTCGTCGACGAGCCCTCGGGCCAGAACCGCATCATCCTCTCCCCCGAGGCCAACCACTCCCTCCGCCCCGAAGACTTCGCCTCCCTCCCCGCGCCCCTCCCCGACCTCCTCATCATGCAGCTCGAGATCCCCCTCGACACCGTCCTCCAGGCTCTCGCCGCCGCCAGGGACGCCACCGTCCCCGTCCTTCTCAACCCCGCCCCCGCCCAGCCCCTCCCCGACGACGCCTACCGGGGGCTGGCCCACCTCGTCGTCAACGAGACCGAGGCCGCCATTCTCTCCGGCTGCAAAGAGTCGGACCTCGACGACCTGCCCGGCATGGAGCGCATCGGCGCCATCTTCATCGGCAGGGGCGTCCAGAACGTAATCATCACGCTCGGCGGCCGCGGCGTCTACTACGTCACAAAGTCTGGCAAGAGCGCCCTTGTCCAGGCCTTAAAAGCAAATGTCGTCGACACGACAGCCGCCGGCGACACCTTCGTCGGCTCGTACGCGCTCGCGGCGGTCAAGGCCGGTGCCGCCGACTTCGATATTGACACAGCCGTTCGGGAGGCCAACCGGGCTGCAGCCATAACAGTCTCCCGGAAAGGAGCACAAGTATCCATTCCGTGGAAGGATGAGCTAGAATAGCCCTAGAATACATAATGAAACAAAATAATGAACCGATTAGACAGAACGGTTGTATCCCGTACCCGCGGTTGCCAGCACGTCAAAACCACGATGCCCAAGGCCACAGGCCCGTTTCCTTCTTCCCCTTAACCCGGACTGTGTCGTCCTGCTCACCACTGATCGCATTCGGAGCCGCCAATGGCCAGGCGGCAGGGCCTATTCCTCGCAGCGCACCGGCAGCAAACGGCCGTTTCTACCCCGGAGAGTGCTGCATGTTGCCTGCATTGCCGCTTAGGGAATCTGCGATCCTCGGCTTCGGGTCCTCATCAGCCTCGCAGCTTGAGGACTGGCTGCGGCTGGACGCACTGCTACTGGACTCTCGAGCCCTCCACGAGCGCTTTGTCGGCAAATGGCTCGCAGAGACCATACGTTGCGCCCTCGATCGAAGGCACGTGCCTGGCATGGGCGATCTGGAGGATGCCGACAGCTGATGATCCCACTTACGCAGAGAGGCGCGAGGCATTGTCATGTCTGGAATCGAGTGCGTATCAAAGTCGCCGGCATCGCCCAGCACATATGTTGACTGCGACTTTTGGAGCTTTCTCGGCGAACGCTGTTTGCTGCGGATGTCGTCCCTCACGAAGTTTGCCTGCTCCTCTCCCTAGTGAAGTCGGATCATATCGAGGAGACTACCGCCAGACGACCGGGGGCGTGCCGACCACAGTGACAAGCTATTGCGTCTCTTCAGAGTCGCCGTGGCAGTCGTCTCCAGCCTGCTTCGCAAGCTGGAAACCCCTACCGCCCCCGGCTGCATCGTCTTATACTCGGGGAAAGCTGAGTGAGAATAGGAGACGCGGACCTGCATGTATCCCACGACGGAGCTGCCCAATTGCAGCTCAAGATCCTCAATCAACTCGTCAGACTTTTGCCGTGCATGACCATTGCGGCCGCGCCGTCTAATATTTTCCGAATCGATGCGGATGTGGGCGAGTAGAAATACACTTGACCCAGCATAAATCGTTCTGCGTCTCACCGTTAGCGAAGCCCCCTTGATCAGTCTTGACGGGCAAGCAACCCACGTAGGAAAAGCCTGCTCCTCTAGAAGCTGCACGATGACGGTACCAGGGGCCGGTAATACTTCAACCGTGAGATCGTACAAGCACCTAAACTCAAAATAGCGATCTGTCGCGCGTTAATTGACTACATGTCTGGTCCACGTGGGCAAGACGAACCTAGTTGATGTTCAACAAATGTCCCTGTTGCTTCCTTGCGCGCGCTGGCGCTTGACGGGCATCGCGACGACGGGATCCTCGAGAGCCTCGCCGACACCTCGATGGCTGCCCAGAGCCATTGCTGCCCGTTGTGTGGCTCTGCGGACTCCGAGGTCACTGAAATGCACGGTGACAGAACAAAGGGCTGTGTGTGCAAGGCACGATCCAGCAATAGCGGTGATGCTGGAGGCGTTGACGATGCCAGCGGGTCTGGGCTATCACGTTCGTCGCCCAATGCGCACAGGGCGAGCCTCCGGGTAGCGCTTCCGATGGTGGACGTCCGCGAGAACGAGCGGGTGTCGGAAACATAGTCGGATCGAAGAGAGGAGCCTGACGACGGCGTGCGGCAGGTCGACGCCCCAAAACTCGGACGAGTCCGCACTAGAGGCCAGCGGCGCCGAACGTTCTTGACAGGAGGTGTTGACTTGGACAGCAGGTCCCGGCATCGCCCCAACGCTTCACCCCACGCTCCTGCTGGAGGTCGATCAAGCTCTGGAGAGCTTGTCCAAAATTCAGGGCGGGAACGCTCGTCGTAGCTGCTTAGGACATTGGGCGATGTGGTCGGCGTCGTCAGTCTGCTGTGGCGCTTGGAGATTTTCAGTCGAGATTCTTCTTTAATGGAGCCCAGAGAGCCGAGCGTTAAGCCAACGCCATCATCCGGACGAGCATTCTCGTTTGCAACGTCTGAAACTTTTGTATCCTCGTGACGCCTCTTGATGATCCGTAGAGGTGTCGGCTTGTACGAAGTTGATTGCAGGGCTTCGGGCAACCGAAACTCCACGTGAGGAGGCCCGTCTGTCAGGGTAGCCATGCCGCTGCAGATGTCGCGAGTCAACCGTGACCGCCGGTGTTGCCTGGGGTCGTCTTGTTCCAACAACTGGTGGCGGACAGATGTCCCGCTCCGTCTGGGTCTCTCTATGAGTCCGCCGAGCGGTTATGCAGGTCAGTAGCCCAGCGGCCAGCAGTGGCTCAATCCGACGACGCCTTGCCGCAAGCGCAACCGCAAGCTGCTCGCAGGCACCTCTGAAAGAACACGGCGGCGAGCAGGAAGGAAAGATAAACGGCAATAATAACAAAAGCAGCAGTCTTGCCTGGGTTGCCCCAAAAATTCCAGGGGATTAAAGGCTCTGCTGTCGAGTTATTCATAATCTGGCTCATGCGAATGCACGAAGGCGAGAGAGGCGACCGTGGGCGGCGAAAATTACGTCGTGAGGAAGTCAGTGCTATTTGGAGGGGTATCAAAAGTTGCTCTCGCTGTATACAGAAGGCGATATCGAAGCTGATGCAGGTGCCACGCGACAAGGAAAACAAAAGAGGGAGGCGCGGGGTGGCGGCGCAACTGGCACCTGGCGAAACCCAGGTAGCCGTGGCAAACGGAAAGCACGCTGCTCTTCAGGGCGCTGTCCCAAGGGTGCGGCGCACGTTGTCCTTGATTGACTCGACGTCTTGTTCCTCCATCGGGAGGAAGTGAATCTGTGCACAAGTCTGTCAGTGCCGGAACAAACTGTCTAGATGCAGCGTCCTTACCAGCTCATCGGGAGCGCCAGAGCCACCGTACAGGACTGGCTCTGAGAGGCTCGCGGCGATTCCCTTCTTCACGCGGTCCTCCCAGACTCCCTCCCAGTTCCATTCCCCGGGTCGCCTGGCCGCTGAGTGAGCGCCCTCGCTGGGCGGCGCCCCGGCGTCGAGTGCCACTCCTCTCTCGCCTTCTGTTGCAGAGGCGGCCTCCTGTGGTAGCTTGCCCAGCCTGCGTCGATGCGTCCGCCAAGCGTGCCACGCCCCTGGGTTTCCCGCCGCCTCGAGAGGCACCGAGTCCAGCACCGTCTCGTCATCAAATGCACCTCGGATGTACTTGAGAATGTGATAGACGGAGATGTTTTGCTTGGGCTGCCGCATATAGCTTGCACGTCCGTTGCCCTCAGACTCGGGCGAGCAAACAGTTGACGGTGGCTTGCTGCCTGGCTCCGAGACCGGGCTCCGGGGCAGCTCGCCACTGACCTTCCGGGTGCTGGATGCCGCGCGTCTGCCCCGACCGAACCACTGTGGAAATCCGTGACGAAGGCTGAAGCCGCCGGGAGGGAGACGCTCTTCATCCCGTGCACTTACGGTTCCGTTGTCCTGGATGTCGGTAGTGTACATGTAGGTGGTGAGAGGAGTAATAAGCGGGTGAAACATGTCCGTCGAAAAGAGAACCAGAGGCGGGAGTCTTGGGTATGTATCAGGAAACGATATTTGAAACCTCAGGACTGCTTGTGTATAGGGGCCTAATATCACGTTAGCCGCCCTCCAGGATTGCAGCAGAATCCCCCTCCAGTCGGCGTCTCACCATCGCGAACAAAGAGCACGGCCGACCACAGGGTCGGGTCTCCTGGGGTTATGGTGACGAAGATGCCTTCCGGGCACGCCTGCTTGAGCCCAGCACTGACAACGTGTAAGTCACCGAGTAAGAGGAGAAGGGCGGATGGATGGGCGGGCGAGCACAGACAATTCGGATAGGAGATGCTGCTTCCGGAGCGACGGCAGCGAATCGAGAGTGAGCATAATGTCTCTTGGCGGGCCAGGGACGCCTGTCCAACGATAGATCTAAGAATAACGGCAGACAAAGGTGAGATGTGATAGCAACTAAGAGGGGGGCGATGACAGACAGCTTGAGCTTTGGATCTCGAAGACGCTGGAGCTTGTACCATCAGGGGGAGCAGTGAGCGGGCGGTGAGCGATTCTGCCAGACCCTGCGGGTGGTCGCTGCACTTGCCAGGCCCTGGCGTCACTGCAGAGACATTGAGGAATGGCGGGGTCGAAGCTCATGCTGCCCGATGGCGGGGCACCACGGGCAGCGCGTGGGCGCGAAACGATGCACGGCCAACTTTGCGCAGAGCAGCAATGGAAGAAAATCCCCAGCACAACTTTTAGCCTCCATCATGGAGGTCCGTCTATAGACAAAAAGGGAAATGATGTGTATGCGAGTCAATACGGCACCGACGCTCCCGCCGTCCTTTCCCAGCCGCCGTCTGGCTCACTGACCAAGGCGCTTCTCAATCTTGGCCTTCTCGCCTGCCTTGATCTGGTCGAGGTCTGTCCTCGTCGCGTTGTAGGCCGCGGTGACCTGGTTGAAGGGGTTCTCGGGGCTCTTGTCAAACTCCTTGCGGATCCTCTGCTTGCGCTGGTCGAGGCGCAGGCCGGTGCCGCTGCCGTCGGCCTTCATCTCGGCGAGCCGGCGCTCCTCGTACTTGGCAAAGGCGGCGGCGAAGCGCCTCTCCGGGTGCTTGTCGACCTTGCCGTCGTCGCCGCCGCCCGTCGTCAGCGACAGCGCGTCGAGGGCGTTGTCGATGCCCGTGGCGTTGAGCGCCGACGAGGGCCCGTCGCCGTCGAGCTGCGACAGGTCCAGGCCGCGCGACTTCTTGACCGGGGCCTTGGACTTCTTGGGCTCGGCGCGGCCGGGCGTGTTGGCCTCCTCCTCCTTCAGCAGGGCCTCCTTCTCGGCCTTCTTCCTGGCGGCCTCGGCCTTTTTCGCTTCCTCGGCTTCCCTGGGGACGCGGAACGCGCGGGGGCGCAACGGTCAGCCATGCCCGCGCGCGGCACGGGGACGGAGGACGGACGGGGACGGCGGGGGTCGCGCACGTAGGATGCCCTTGGTACGGAGTTACTCACTTCTTTGCGTTGCTCTTGGAGCCCTTCTGCCACTTCTCAGCGTCGGCAGCCTCCTGCCTGGCGTCGGCCTGGGCGGCCTTTTGCGCCGCCGCCTCGGCCTTGCGGGCGTTTCCCGCCACCTTTTTGCTGTTCTCCCCCTTCTTGCCCGCCATGTTTACCGTTGCGGCCGCCTCGCGCGCGCGCGTGTGTGTGCAGGGCGTGTACTTCGTACGGTGGTTCGGCGACTGAGTGGACGTCGGGCGTACCGTGGCAGCTCGGGTCGGGATTGATGCAAGATCCGAGCGGGCAGGCGAGGGGTGGGCGGCCAAGGTGCGCAGGCGTGTGCGTCGTCCGAAAGGGGTCGATTGCTGTCGGTTTGCTGCGACGGTGCGCGCGTTGAGAAAATGCCGAGTCGCGAATCCCTGGCGTAGCGGCGATTACGCTTGTCGCACAAGAGGACGGGGTCGACAAAGTTGAGGCAGCTGGTCCGGAGATGGCTCGCTGCTGTGTGACGCACCCCGCGTGCAAAGGGTGGGCGGTGATGAGCTAAGGCACGACACGGGCACCTAAAAGGCAAGGGCCATGGAAGGCAGCCCAGCCCCAACCTGCTGAAGGACGAAATACGGGCAGCACCGCAGGCTTCCATCCATCCAACCAGGCGCTGTTTTGGCGCCGGCTCAGCGGCTGGAGCCGTGGATTGTGTGTGCCCGTGGCCTTGTTAGAGTCCGTGGGGCACACATTTTAGGCGCCCACCACTCGAGACGTCATAGTTTCCCACTGCAGGTGCCGGCCGGCACTGGGCTCGAGCTCCTTGCTGAGTGAGTGTCGAGCGCAAGGTACAGTAACATACAGCATAGGAGGAATACTTTGGCACTCGCAGCGACGACAGCAAGAACATAAAGTCCTGGCCCAACGGCACAAAGACACCGCAACGTGTCCGGCAGCCCACAAACACAGCTCGCATGCCAGGCGCTTCGTCGCAGTCGCCCCCGCTCGATACTCTCCAGCACAAAGCCCACCTACCCGGAACCTCCTCCACCCGAACACCGCACTTGACGACATCAACAACACCAGGCCTCCCCGCACAACTCGGCGTCGCAGGGACTCACGGCGCGGCCGGGTTGGCGCAAGCACTGTGACGTCCGTTGCTATCGATCCGAGACCATCATGCAGCCACCGCCCCAATGGGACTGTTGTGTGCCAGCGCGAGGCGAGATCTGTCACGGCGATGGCAACTGACAGAAACGCAGCGCCATGCGCCGCCGCAAAGCCAGTCATCGCTGGTGGTCACACGACGCCCTGACCATGATTGGCAGCGACGCTCTACACAACCGCGACGGATATGCCAACGCGACGGCTGCTGGCCGAACGAGCTGGCGTGTCCGGCACAAGGGCGCGGGTACGGCCATGTGCCCATGTGCGTTACACGACACTGGCCATGCTTTGCTGTGCTGTGCTGCGGTTCAGAGCGGTGCATGCGCTGGCTGAGCCCGCCTCGACTCTCTGATCAAGGCCTCGCGGACTCGAACTCGTGGCCCGGCCTCACTGGCTGCTCGCCGCCGACGGTGCGCGTTTCTTGGCCCCGGGGGGCCCCGTTGTGTCATGATCCCCAGCCTTGTAGAGTGGCATTCACCATCGCCGCGTGAATGGCGAGTGCGGGGACGGCCCATGATGCATGCTTCCCCTGGCGAGTTCAAGGGTGCGTCGGCGTCCAACAAGAGTGACAGCCTTGCCGGGACCTATTCTTCGCGAGTGACGAGTCAGTAATCCTTGGCGGCGAAGAATCTGGGCCGCCTTTCCGGGCAATGCCATGCGTGCCAGGAGCATGTGCCTGGCGGTGAATACTGTGCCTGCGAGAGCGCAGGCATCGGTGAGGCCAAGATGCAATGTGCAATATGCGGCGTGCACGCACCATCCCTGGCGACTGCTTGATGCCGTGGCCTGGCCGCCCGTCTCATGCCCAATTTGCTGCTGCTCTGTCTGCCAACACAGCTTGAGTCTCGACATGCTGACCCTGCGGTCGTTGCCGGCACGTCGTGCGCCCCGTACTACTACTCAGAGTCAGCATGTCGTCACTGCACACGAGCTGGCTCTGGTCGCCGGGGCACTGTCGCCTTGCGTTTCCCTGACTTTCAACCGCGCGTTGGACAAGAACTCCGCTGCCTGGACATGTCGCCCTGTCGCCCTGTCGCACTCAACGGTCAAGGGCACAAACACTGATGTTGCACAACCCCGGTCGAGCCAAGGCGAAGAATCTTTTCAAATGGGGTTGGGCATGATCCAACGAATGGCCCGGGCTCGACCCTCGACGTCATGCAGAAGCGAACTTGTAGCAGCGCTGCACCGTAAAGATTTTTCTGGACAGGGCTTAATAACTTTTTTTTCTTCCAAGCGACCGTGCCCCTCTTCTTGCCGGGTGAAATTTGTTGTGTTGGGTATGGCTGGTCCGGGCGGCGCAGGGGCACCTCGCGAGGCGAGCAGCCAGACCGAGGTGGGAGGTCGCCTCAGACAAGTACTGTCCAGTACTGTATTGTACTGTACAGTAGAGCGTTGTGTCTCCAGCAAAGCCATCCCCCCTCGAGCAGCGGGACCAGCGCGGCGACGGCTCACCGGGCACTCCATCTCGTTCGGCGGCGTGTTTGAACCGTCGTTGCACTCGGCCCTTCGGTCTCTGCTGGCCCAAGTCGGTAGCAGTCTGGCCAGGTGTATTTGGAAACCGGTCCGCCATCGATGCAGGGAGTCGTCACATCATCTTCATCTCCGAGGCCAATCGGGGATGCCTGCTAGGTGGGCTCTGTAGAAGTGAGCTCTCGTCAGATATCGCATTTGACTGAAATGATAGCTCAGACTATCTCGGACGGCAATGTCTGGGCCAATCTCATCGTCTCGGCCGGGCCAGCATCATGTCCATAGGATGTATGAATTCGTCGGCCCGCCACAAGGGGCAGTGGAGCCCCGGCAACGTGGTGCGCGAAGTCGTGCCGGTCCCTCTGGCGTAGATGTATTCTGTGATGTACGTATGTACACTCGCCGTGGCGCGTGCCATCCGCGCGCGAGCTGCCGCCAAGAAAAGGAACAAAGATGTCCCCCGACAGGCGCATGGCAAGGAGTTCTCCGGGTCTGGGCCGGATAGACCTTCTGATACGTACTGCTAAGCCCCAAGCAGCCGCATCCCATGTCGCAGAACGAGCGCGTGCCATTCATCCAGGGCTGACAGAATCCTTGCGCTGGCCATGGGACTATTCGTCACTGGTGGCAGGGCTCGAACGTGGAGTGACGGCATCACGCTCTATCGATTGATCATGTAGCCGACCAGACCGAAAGTTTCTGCGGCAAGGGCGTCTCAGGAATACCTCATTCGCAGTAGCTGTCGCGCCGTGGCGCTGAGACGGCCGGGGCCTGCACTCGTGGTGCTCGGATGATAATCAAGGGACGGCGTTATGTAGTCGATCCGAAACACATGCCAAATATACTCGGAACGTCCGCATGGACGACGTTCCCCGCCTGAACTCATCTGATCGGGCGCTTTCTGCATAGTAGCCACTTCGTATGACACTGCGATTCTCATGACGATCCGACAAAGCGCAACCAGCGGTGGTATGGCGTCGGACGCGACACATTTGCCAGCCCGCCGTGTGCCGGGAGTCTTGAAAGAGCACCGGCTGAGGGGCGTCCGTAGTTGTATGCACTTTGAGGAAGCGCATTACAGCTTGCTAGTGCGCCCGTCAAAGATCGATCCTGACAGGCATCAATGAGTCGAAATCCCCCACGCGTGGTATCCATCATCCCTGCGATGATCGGTCCATTAGCAAAGGCCGGGCTGTGAGTGCCCAGGCAGCGCCACAATCTTTAACAGTATGATGGATGTGGTACCGCTAAAGCAGATGATGAATATCTCCATAGAGTATATCACATTACGCGGAAACCATGCCATAAATGGCTGTATCCAACGGGACTTGCCGCTTGCCAGGAGTTCGTACTAGGTAGGGACGGTTGAACCAGGGCCCTGGTGGTCTTCCGCCCTTGGCCAGCTGAATACGACACATGCGCCAGCTTTTCCTTCCGCGGGCCAGGAAAGACAGTTATGCCTGCCTTTCAACGATGGAGATTTTGGAAGTGCGGCGTGGTCCGCGCCGACTACGCCCTAGGAATTCCTCGAGAGTGGAAAGGCTGCGCCGGGATTGGCGCCACTCCCGAAAGTCGAAGGCTTGCGGATTGCCTTGGTGAGCGAAAGGTCATCAAAACCGTCGAAGTACGACGGGAGAAGAACGTATCGAGATACACTCACGGCAGAAGCATGTCGTACAGTGTACGGAGTATCCCGTCCTGGGACCGTATGCACGTAATGTCCTTTTGTGGCCGTCCAGTTGCTTTCCTGAAGCATGTCAACCCCCCAGATGCAGCCGTCTCTCACCTGATCTTTCCTGACTGGCATTCGCGGACTGTAGGGGTTGTGGTTCGTTGATGTCTGTCTCGTGGCCATCCGCCAAAGAAGAGGCGACCCCTGTCCGCCCACAGCCGCTCGAATCGACACGAGTGAGGGTAATGCTCATGCGCCGCAAATGCTGCGCCCGCGCAGATGACGCGGGATTGGATAGCCGCCGTTGAATGGTGAGTTCGCCATGTGTCTCACACCGGCCAGCAGATGCCTGTACGTGCGTGCCGCGGTGCAAATGCGAGGCCATATTACGCACGGGCGCCATGCCGTCAGACTTGCGTTGCAGCGTGGAGCGTTTCGGTCTCGGTCTCTGGCCATCCATCAACGGGGACCAGGGAGAGAAAAAGTACTGTTGGAGTGCGGCGCCAGGTGGATGGAAATGCCCGAAACGACCACATCTACTTTGTATGCAGGGGAGCAAAACGAACACGCGTGCCCGTTCCCTTCTGGCGGGGAGTGCCGTCTACGTACGAGTATCGTGGTACGTACTACGATATTTTACCCACATTTTCAATGCTTGTGCTTGAAATCGGCTCCGCGGCCCGGGCGCGCTTTCGCACCTCGCGGGGCAAGAGCTGACCGGCTTGTTGTGAGAGCAGAAGGAGCACCCACGATGCCACCCAATCTCGACACGAGGACCAGAAGTTGTGGAGGTTGCGCCTTCCATGTTGAGCCTGCAGGTGTGCGTGTGTGTGATGCGCGCACTCCGTAGACGAGGCAGTCGCTCCCCATCCGCTTCCTGTCCACGAGTAGGATGCCAATCGCAGAGACACACGGTCAACCGGGGGTCGGAAGCCCTTGATGCCTTCGCCACTGCCAAACCGCTCTAGCGGCCCTGGTCTTCCCATTCGCCCGGCTCGTCGAGAGACGTTCCGCGGGATGAAACCGGGCCACCGGGGGCATTTTGTTTTATTTTGCGGAGTATTTTGTTGTATTGTATTTTATTTTTCCACAGCGTACCTACTACCGCCCCTTGCTCGCGGGGAGCCGCCAGCAGCCTCCTGTGGAGCAGCTGATCGCAATTGCTAATTGCCAACCGCGGCCTGGCATACCTAACAGTTCGGTGCCTGCGGCCTCGCCAAGCTCACGTCGGTCCCCGGCCTGCTGGCCTGCATCCGCGCCGCCACCCCCACTCGAAGGCCTTTCGAGAAGGTCTGGCCAGCAGCTCGTCCCGATGGGGGCGGCTTGAGCGAAGCAACGTCTGAACGCAACAATCGGGCCCAACAGATGAAGGGAGAGCCCGCTACGGTACAGCACCCATTAAGACACATGGCTTGCAGCCAACGACGCCTCGTTGAATACTGATCAGGGATGACAGTCGATCCAGCCGGCCGTGGCTGTCCCGAAGAAAACACCGTCCAAGGCCAGAACGGCCGCCAGAGCCCAGTCCCTCGCTATCACAACGCCAGGTACTGCTCGCAGGCCCGTGCCACGGCGTCGTCGAATTGTTTCTGGTGCCTTGCAGGTATCTGACTTCCGATCCGCCGACGCTTGTTCCCCCCTTTACTGAGTCTGACAGCTCACATGGGCCGATTCCCATGAGTCGTTGCATCCAGCTCTTGACCCCCAAACTACCTACGGAGTACGGAGGACCATGAGCTGAAAGACGACGAGCAAATCCTCGACCGACATCTGACGGAAGTCCCTGCTTTGCCGCGGCGTCTCTAGCGTCAACCTGCGCGGCCTCCGTGCCGCGTTCGTCTGCTGTCTTGCTCCTCGGATCGGAGCAGCACTAGGAGCCAATAATTCGGGCCAGTTCGACAAGGCGGCCGTACGGTACCAGGGAGGTACTGGTGGGTTGATGCTAGCTCCCACCCCTTCGCCTCAACCAGCTCACCGGGTCCAAGCCCATGCCCTTTAGAGGGACGCCAGGCCGTAGGTACGGAACCCAATCACGCTGATCAGCACCAGGAGCCCACTGCTCACACCGCTGCGCTGGACCTGCCCTGCTCCGCCTCTGGCACGAGACGGGGTGCCCTGAACGCCACTTGCTGCAGCCCAGCACAGCTTTAAATTTCCGGATCCTGGGCCAAGGGGCCACTCAGTGGCCGTTTTGAATCCGCCTTTTTAGGTCCGGGGAACAGAACCGGGCCCCACCTGAACCGGATAGCAGGGACGTCTCCCCGGGGGTCATGGCATTTGCCCTGTGCGCGAACTCATTGGATATGTCCTTGGCGCCGGCGGCTGACGGATGACGACAGTTTGGACACTGGCGAAACTGCCCAAGCAGGGGGTCCGTCGCAATTCCACCCGCCCGAAAACTAAAAATCCCAAGGACCACGAGTCGTCTGTTGTCGTGGGGGATCACGAGGTTTTAACATGGCGGTGAGAGACCATTTCTCCGCTTGCCTTTGCAACTAGGGCTGGGCGCGGTCGTATCGTCGACTCCCAGGCGGCGGTATGCCAGCACTAACGGCGTGTAATGGTGTTTCGACCAAGGATAACCCTTGCTTCAATGGCAGGGAAGCAGTCATCGAAGCCGTGTCTGATGCAATCAAGCGAAGCCGCACGCTACGGCTAAACGTGCGTGTTGGTGCGACCACATCGTCGGGTTCCATGGACCTGTGAAAAGGACTGTCTGTCCCGGAGGGCACTTGCCGCTGGTGCGGCTGCATGTCGTGCATTGTGCCGCATGCGCACACATTATGGAGAACCTAGCAGGCCAAGGTGTCACCCTCGCACCTCTACGCTTGTTTCCTGACGCGTCGGCCAAACGGGACAAGACGGTGCGACTCTACGATTGTTCTGAGCCCCCAGCGCGCCTGGGAAATGAACCGAACTGCCGGGATCATCTAGCTTCCACCGAGATGTGTCAAAATGCAAGCGATAGCAACGAAGCCACGTTTTTTTTTTGAGCCGCGCGGAGATTGCGTTGCAACAGAGCGTCTGCTTGGGTGCTCGGACCGGGTGGGAACGTGGAGGAGCAAGTCAGCGCAGATTCTGGAAGACGGCGAGACATGAAGCATCAGAAACGCCAACAGTGCAGCTCATTCGCGAGCGGGGTCACAGTTCGCCGACGTTGGCAAAAGGGCTGCTGAAGGGGCCATTCCGTTCGCTACCACGCACCAAGTACATCCACGATACCTAGACGGTACAGAAATGGAGAGATGGCTGTGGAGCCGGCAGGATTCCCGGCACTCTGCCGCGACGCCCAGAGCGCTGGCTCGGATCTCCGGGTCCCTGTGAGCGGAAGAAATGGTCTGGGCGCACACCCTCTCTTTCACTCAGGGGACCTTGGGGGGGGGGGTTAGAGGGCATTGGCGGCGTCGCGGCCTCGGCTGACCAGGACAGGCCAGCGAAGGGAAGCAGGTATCAACTCCGCCATAACGCTGGCGGCACCCAACTGCGAGTATGTGTACCCGAGCGGTGCATTGACTGGTGTTGCTCCAGTGGCACAGAGACAGCGCGAAGAACGAGGGACGCGGTCCGGGCAAAAAATTGCAATCTCCTCACCGGTTCGGAACCAACACGAATGGGACGCGAGTGGGCATCGCTTCTGCGTTTGAAAACCGGCCTGGTCCCTATCCAGATTCCGCACGCACAACGGCAGGCTCCATCCATAAGCCAGCACGAGCCTCATTGTGAACCTTGACTCCGCAGATGGGTTGACCAACACTATCCGACGACGAGCAGTGACTTCGATAGGAATTTTGCCAAAAGTCAATCTCAGCACACTGCCGGGCTCGGCGACACCGGTACGCCTGTGGACAATTGCATCCTGCAGAGGCTGGTCTGTTTGCCAGAACCAGGTGCTGCGTGACTTCCTGCTTTAACGATGACCCTCGGCTACAGCACGCGCTCCGCCAGGTCGGACTGGCCGGCGGGACGTGCTGCCAGAGCTTGGACTCCTTCAGGTCGGGGTTGCAAGGGCCTTAGCCGCCTCACCACGTGGCTGACGCAGACATGCGGGCAACATGTATCCATGTTGAAGCCCTGTCGCCGAATAATCTAGCGCCCGTCCAGACGGCGAATTCGGCGCGGGCGAGCCTCGTATCAAAACGTCAACTGTGTCCCGTGATGCTAGGCGGCTGCTACCGGTCTGCTTAGCGGCGCATGTCGGAGCACCGGAACTTGACATGACGAGCGCGAGATTGGTCCTCGTCGACCGGTCAGAGATGGCCAGCGTCGGACGCGGCTAGCCTTGGGCGATCATCGGAGGGACAATGCCGCGGATAATATCGCAGGGGACGGTCCGGCCTCGCGGATTCGCGCCCGTTGCGGCGTTGGCAGGTCTATTACAAAGACAGGCCGACTTTGGCGGCCGCGGCCCCCTTGGGCATCATGTTATGTGGCACCGCTGCCTGCCTCGAACCTCTTGCGCACGACTCGGCTCGGCTGGCTGCGGGGTTGCTGTCAGATACAGCACAGAACTCTCACCACTGCAACCTTGTTCACACACACAGAACTCGCAGACGAGGTCGTCGGCTGACCACGGGCGGTCGGTCACGTCTGCCGCCTGACGGCGGGTGGCGCGCCAAGTTGGGTTGTCAGCGACCAAGGCTGTGTAACAAGCAGGAACTGCTTGGTCCTGCGCGATCAGCCCACCGAGCCCAAGCTTGTTGTACTCATTCACACGACTTGCTTGGCCCATCTCGTTGGCATGCAAGTGTGCCGCCGGACGGTTGGATGCAGATCTGACGGCGGGTAAGGCCACGGCCACCCGGCCGAGTACAGCATGCGGGCCGTGCAACATTACGAGTTTGGGCCAGAGCTCGCCTGGCCTGGTCGGTACTTGGTCCGTATCGGATCTGCTGGGTAGCCACGTCGCGGGCTGCAACGCCACGCTCGCACTCAGCATGAGCCTGTGTGGTGCACAGCCAAGGGCGCATCTTGACCGAACGACAAGCATGCAGGCATTTGACCACGAGCCTGGCCATCATGTGGACAGCGAGTGCGGTGCCGGGATGGGCAAGCCTGCAAAGGCCTTTGTGCGCAGGGCGGGATCCGTCCGGGCCGGCGCCCATTTGTCGTCACGACCGCTTCCGTTGCGCCTCTCGCGTGTTGTGCTCCCTTGGTGTCGCAAGATCAGGGCCAGCTGGACTCGGGCCGTGCGCCTCGTGGCAGCCCAGGGGCTGGAGGACTGTTTGCTTGGAATTGCCCAACCCAGCATTCGCCTCGTGGATGCGCTGACCGCTTCGCCTCGCCTTCTCCCAGAGCCCGTCCCGTGCCATCTGAAGCATAGTCATCCTTGTCGCACTTGTCAAATGGGCTCGATGGAGGTCGTCGGTTGGGCTCACATCTGCGAGAGGCGTTGCGACGATGGCAAGGCAACCGTCCGACCGGCTTGCAAGGACCAGAATGTGGCCATCAGGGCGGAAGGAGGGTGTGCGGACAGCAAAAGCCAGAGCCACGCCAAGACGACGACGCACGCCCCGCTCGACGCGAACTGACATGACGACGCCTGTCCGTCTCGGTCAGTGCCGTGATGGTGCCAGAGCAGCCTGGATCACCGCCGGTCCAGAGATCCGGGCGAGGCAGCATGTGCATTCGCTCGTACATGCGCCGTACATACATACTACAGACGTACATACCGCACAGTACGGCCCATACGAGCGGTCAGTCGAGACGCGGTCTATTGCTTCAGCGCAGAGGATTCGTGGCTCGGATTGCCAAGGCGCCCCCGGACAAGAAACCGACAAGGATGAGACTGGTGATACATTGGCAAGTTGTGGTTGGCCTATTTCGTCATCGTCCGTCATCTGGCACCAAGCGACATGCGAGTCAGGCCAAACAATGGCATTTATTTGGCGATGCAGAAATCAGCATGGCCCGGTCGTCGAGCTCGGCAGGGCCACCCACGCGCTGATGAGGGGGCGCGGCGGCCCTTGGCTGGCCCGCGCTGCTCTGGATGAAGCGCCAAGTTGCAGAGGCGCTACGAGGTACGCACGAGGTAGTAGACGGCGCACGACCGCGATGCACTTTACTTGGTACATGGCCGTCAGCAAACGGCCGATTGCAACATGGCGCACCGCCCGTCGACCGACTTTGCCTTTGTAGGCGCGTGTAAGTATCGCCAGTCCGGAAGGACGCTCCGTGCCCGGGTTGGCATTTCACAGGCAGTACCTTTTTTTATTGCACGACATGGGAGGGGAAGGCATGGCGCAAAAGTGGGCGCCGTGGGACACGGACGGCGAGAAAAAGATTAAAAAGGAACACTCTGAGGAAGAAAAAGCAACGACGCGAACGCGAAGCAGCAAGGAGGCGCCGTCGAGATGGGTCCACGGTCAACCAGGGGGGTTTGTCCGTCGTCCAGCTCCGTATCGCCGCCGCCGCGCCACGGCTCCGCGTCCGGTCTAGTTGAAAAAACAATCCAGCAGGCCGTCGATGCTTTTGCGCCGCACTGCGCTGCACTGCGCTTGACGGACCACAGCCCCGGTTCACAGCACCAGCAGGCCGGGTTCCCGCTAGCCGCCTGAACCTGAGCGAGGTCTGCCGCGTGATGCCCCGCCCCTTTCCAAGGTGTCAGCTCTCGAGTCCCACACCGTCGTCCGGAAGCTCTCAGGAGGGCTGCCGGCCAGGAAGCGCCATGGCCCGCCATGGCCCCGGGGTCCAGGGCCGGCCCAGCCGCGCCATGATATGATGGTGCTGTTGCTCGCCGCTCGCCTGCTCGTCCCATGTTGGCAGCGCGAGCGCCTAAACACACCATCTCCCTGCGCCGCTGGAGGCGCCAACGAGTACCTACGAGTCGAGGGCGTCTCTCGCTTCTCTCTGCTGCGCGTCTGAGGCGAACCGACGGCCAGCGGTGCGAGAGCCGCTGCCCAGGCGGGGGAGGAGAAGCCTAGCCCGAGAGCCCTGTCACCGCCCCCTCCGGCAGCCCACCGTCCCCTGTCGAGCCGGCGGTGGTGATGATGACGACGATGAGGCCAGCAGAAGCAATCCTCGACCCGGCCAAAGTGGTACCTGAGCGGTACAACCTGTGCCTTCAGCCTTGGCCCGCCCGACAGACAGGGGGGGAGTTCACCCAGAGGACCCCTCCCCCTTTCGGTTCAGCAGCTCAGTCGCCATCTGGCACG